TAAGTAAGTAAGTAAGTAAGTATGAGGGCAAATACATATATTGAAATGTGAATACTAACAATAATAATAATAATGGAATACTAGCAATTAGAGCTCGGAGGAGGGCGTATCCAACACATTGACATGCGCTGTGCAGCAGATGCAGGCGGGTCACGAGGATGGAATGTCCGATCGAGTCCAGCCAATGCCTGAGCAGTGGGGCCATCCAGCATCGCTTTCAAACGCTGCTCCCCATCTACTGGCTGGAATCTCAGGCCCGCAGCCCGCGAAGCAGCTGTGGAACGGGGTCCGCCGAAACAGCTGCCACCATCGCCAGTTAGAGCCTTCGAAGCTGAAATAGCGGGGAGTGCCCCCCACTCTGAGTCTGGGCCTCGATGGCCGCCGGCGCGACCTCATCGGAGCTCGGAGCCCGAGCCGGAGGGCGCCAGGCTGGAAGACCCGAGCCGCGAAGCCGCGGCCTCTGAGAAACACACCCGGCACACACGTGTGGCTAGCAGTCGGGTGAGGACCTGGTCCACGCCGCAGTCGCTCAATTGCCGCCCTGGCCCCCATCCCCCAGAGCTTGAGCCATACTGCAGCCACCAGCAAAGGTGGCATGAGCGTGTCTGTGCTGCAGTTTGGCTTTGCACTTGGGCCGAAAGTGGTCCCGACCCCCAAGCTTGGGGTTTGCCCAACAAAAACAACTTGGGTCGGTCACCTCCGCTGAAGATTCAACGGGACACGGCCCACCTGAACGTGGCCCACTGACATGAATCCCTCCCTCCCTCCGTCCCTCCGTTCCCTCCCTTCTTGCCTTGCCTTGCCTTGCCTGCCGCCCACCCGCCGGGCCCCAGTCAACCTCACACTCGCACACTCTCAGCCAGTCACTCCCTGAGCCCCTCCCCCCTCACACGTAGAAATCTCTTTGCAGACTCTTTTCGCAGACCTCTCGCGTGTTCCCGTCCCGGATCCTGCCGGCCCTTAGGTGTCACTTGGACTCCGCTTCGAAGGTCGCCTCGGCAGAGTCAAGTTTATGGCGGTCTCTCGAAGACTCATCTTCTGAGAAACGGCGGATGCCGGCGGTGTGCTGTCGTCTGTGTTGTCACTCTGGTTGTTGCTGCTACCGGGCCCCCTGCTGTACCTGTAGTTTCTGGTAGAATCGAGTTGATGCAAGAACTAAACCGGAAACTCTATATAAACCCTATAATAAACCGCACAGCAGGCATTGCCAGTGGAGCTCTTAAGGCAGGTCGCGGCATTGGCAATCAGCCAGGTCCGCAGCTGCTGCAATGCTCGGCCACGATGGGAGATTGCGTTCTTGGCTTCCTTCCTGGGCCCATCTCGAGGCGTTTGAAGGCTCTGGAAGGGCGAAATCGAAACAGACTGCTGTGGCCTGCAAGAGCCACAGAGCACGAATAGGCAGGACAGACAGCAATTTTGGCCATCACAAGGTGGGGGCACTGCAGGGCACTGCAAAGCAGACGAACAAAAACACAAAGCGGCGACAAACAGGGCCGGGGCAAAGCCACACAGCAGACGCCCCAAACGGAAAATGCTGAAAGCCACACGACAAAATAGGATAGTTGCGGAGCTACGAGGGCGCAAGCCAGGATGGCAGCAAGGCAGACTGAACGATCGGATAGCTTTCGAAGTAAATCAAGCAAGAAGTAAAGGAAAAGCGACAAACAGCATAGAGCAAAAAGCGACACTGCGGACGCTGCAAGCAGGCAAAAGCCGCAAAGACCGCAACGCAAGCTACAACGAAGCTACGAACTCAAAGCGGATGCTGACTGCAGCTGGGCGTCGCCATCTCGGCGAAGGTCTTTCCCTCGCCTTCCAAGGGCTCGAAGACCGGATCCCAACCGAAGTCCTAGAGAGGCGGAGGTGCGGGCAAAGTGCAGCTACGAAAGCTTAGACTGAAGTCTCTGAAGGTAGGGCGTGGGCCCGTCCTTGGGGCCTCGGGCCTCCACGATCTTGCCCTCTGTGCGGCCGTCGAAGACGCGCACCTCCTTGCCGGGCCCAGCGCAGAGCGTGAAGAGGCATTGCGCCTTGGCGTTGTCGCAACCCGGCCGCCAATAAAGCTCTGCATGGATGCAGCCAAGCCGCATAGGCCGATTTGTCCTCGCAAGAATCACCCGGCTCTGCGGCACTCAAACAGCTGAGCGAGCAGGCCTTATTTGCGCTTGCTTTATGCACGTGCGCCTCGTAGCCGGCAAGCAGCTTGTTAAGCCCTTCATGGCCCAACTTCTCCAGGAACCACTTGATGTATGGACCTCGCAACCCCCACCCCCCGCCTCTAAGGGTACCATGACAGCACTAGCCGAGCTGAGTGGCCTGGGAGATCTTTGAGTGCATGGTAGCACAAGGAGGTGTCCTCGCACATGACGGGCCCTTTCACGTGCTCCTGGGCTTGGGCGGGACCGCCGATACACAGCTCTCCAACACGGATGCTGGATCGGCACTAAGTTTGCCGAGCGACCGCAGCGAGACGGCATTTTTCCACGGCGATTTCCTGGCACTTGCCGAAACGATTACCCGCCAGGGCAACATCAGAATAAGCAGCGTCCGCACATGTCTGCACCCCGCTTTCTCCTTCGTGCTCGATCCCTGCAGCTCGGGCAAGTCGACCTGGCCATGGCAAAGGCACCGCTCTCCCCGGAGGGCGCGAACAGTGCATGGAGCCTTCTGCGATGTGACCTCGAAAGGAAGCTCCTCCGATCCCGAGGACAAGATGTGCTTCACCTGGAACGGCAGTTTTTTAGAAGGAAGAGAGAAGCCGGGAGAGTCAATGCCTCCTCCAGCTTCTTCGCATTTCCGGTGACGAAGACGATGGCTTGCGGCATCGGGCGCTTGGGCATCGCCCTGGGCAAGCTCCGAAGAATGCGTTCTTGCTGGCCTTATTGCCCGTGACATCGTGGCATTGCATCGTGCTGTCTAGTCTATTCGACACGAAGCTGTGCAAACTAAGCATTCACGGAATTCGTGTCAACAGATTGCCACCTCATGTTTTAAAGCTCTGAGCCTGTCCACGACACACACACACACAGAAACACACCACAATGCCTGCAACAGCAGCATTCAGCACCGGAGGCTCGCTCTCTCTCAATTAGGGAGGCCGGAGGAGTAGATGCCATGGAAAATGACATGCACAGAGACAAGGCGAGCAGCCGCGATAGCAGCAGCGCGGCCAGGTGAACAATCATATTCTGTGGCACTTGTGACAACAGGCGTTCGTTTGTGCTCGAACGGTTTTTGCGGGTTGAACGGCGGGTTAGAAGCATGTCGCCGAAGCTCACATTCTGATGCTCATTCGTTCCGGCTAAGATTCTGGCCGCTTTGGACTTTAACTTCCACAAGTGCACACCATTCCTCGGCCTCGCCACGCTGGCGAAGGCTGGAAGGCTCACACTAAACGCAAGCACGGCATGGGCCAACTTGCGACACCGAAGGCCCATACGCATGCTTTCGGGCCAAACTCCCAGGGATCCAATCTGAAAGCAATTGAACGCTTGTTCAGAGACACGGGGTTCGCGAAGCATCACGATACTAACTTTGAAGGCGAGCAATGTGCAGATTTCGCTCTGCTGCAAGCTCGAACCCCCGCAGTGACGCACTTGACGTTATTGTATTGTCAGTTTGTCAGCTCAGCACCATGACGACCGGGCATTGGTGGATGTCAGATACATGTTGCGCGAAACAGGAAGCGAAATTGAGCCGATGCAAACCTCTTGCACTGCCATCTTTTTGTCCCAATGGCGTGCTGCGTTCGCCAAGCCACGTTCCTGGAGAAGGCAAAACCTGGCAACGACAGTTTCCAGCCCTTGCATGAATCAGTACACCATAAACTCTACACCATAACATAGCCTCAACACCTTTTCCAAATAGCTCCCGGATTTCTGTGAGCTCCAATGCCTGTACCAGATACTGACCTGCGCAGACGAACTGCCTCCCTTCTTGGGGCCTAGGTCAAAAAAATGCTTTGGGGCGGCGGGGGGGGGGGTGTAAAACAAGTTTTGGGGGGTGAATTACAAGCTGGGGAATGGAAACAACTACAAAGGGTTGGAAAAAAAGACAAAGCCGTAACCAATCCCCGGCAGGCAACTTTCCATCCGCCTGCTGCGCTGAGATGCCCGCCCAAGTGACCGTTGGCTAAAAGAGTTAGGAGCATAGACAGAGGAGGGAGTGTTTACGCAATCCTCCAGCAGCATGCGGCACGCACCATGCATAGCTTCGTCAATCCATGAGCGGATGTATGAGATCCCCTCCCAAGATGCAGAAAGCCAGAAAGGGCCTGTGCATTCGAGATCTTGGATGACGATGGAATCCTGAAAATAGGGGGGTGGGGGGGGACAGAACCAAGCCTGCACGCTTTCCAAGCCCCGCACCTCAGGAACAGGAGTGGTTGGCAGAGACTCCTCAGTGCGCGGGACCAGCAAGGCAACTTTCCTTCCACTTGGTGCTCAGATGCCCGCCCAAGTGACCACTGGCAGGCCTAGAAGAAGGAATGCGGCACTGCAGAGGGGAAAAGACATCAGCAACAAGTGAAAAGTAGAGCCCTTTCCAGTGCATCCTCTCAGGCTTCAACCGGGAAGGTTGCTGGGAGGTGTCATGCTGAGGATGCCAGGCGGGGAGTCATCCAAGCTGATATCGACAACCTGCCGTGGCAGGTGAAGGCGTGTCCGTGCTGTCATGTTGGGCTTCCATATATTTGCTGTGTCTCCAGGCTTGGCCAGCGAGGTCCCCTGCCATGGAATTCCCAGTTTCCAGCCGCCAACGCGTGGGGGCTTCCAAGCCCATTCAAGCTACGTTCTTGAGACTGAGTTCGTCGTGCAGTTCGGCAAGACGGTTTCGGTTCCGCAAGTCTTGTTAAGGCATGTTTCGTTGCACTTGAGACACGGTTTGCTTGAATCAAAATTGGGAAGCATAGGTGTAGCGGCAGTGATCACAAGCAATCAGTCGGGCCTTTGCCCTGCTTGGGAGGCTGCGGCTACACATGTTGCACCTCGTGCACGACCTTCTGCAGGCAGAAGCCGCTCGCAAAGAGCATTTCTGTAATACAACAGAGAGGTAATGTCCTTCCCCCGACACATCCCAAAAGTCTTTCTTCCTTCGAGGGACGCAGCTGTCAATGGACAGCACCATTACACTGGCTACGCCCCCCAATCTACCACCGCAATTTGCAGCCACGCTTGACCTTCTGCGTAGAGCCCAATCCTGCCATTGCAGTGTTCCCTCTGAAAGAAGACCTTGACAAGCCCAATGATCTCCAAAGTCATGCAAATGCCTTTGTTTGCTCGGTAGTTTGCTTCTTTCGGTGCTTCTTTCGCGTCGGTTTGTCTGCGTGCCGGACTCAGATACTGGCTAAGCACTGCCGGCTCTTTTCTCCGCAGGAATGGCGGAACGGGCTGCTCGCTGGCAAGCAGGTTTCGTTCTCCATGAAGTGCAGTCTTTGCAGTAGGCTCAGGAACCTGTTTGCCCCAGCGTCGTTAACGGGTCTCGGTCGGGGCCGCGACTCACTGAAGCGAGCGAACCTCAAGGCGCAGACAGACCCAAAACAAAAACAGACAAGCGCACGGAAGAAGGATCGCAACAGCAGGCGATGCAAACGACCGGGCCCGCCGGCGCTCAGCAGACGGGGGGCGGCACCGCACTCATCGTGCTGAAGCCTCGCGAGGCTCGCAGCAGAGGCCCGCCTGCGCGCTCCTGAGAAAATTCCGCCCTCTGCCCTGGGCCGCCTCCCAAGGGCCGCGACTCTCGCTCCCGCCTCGGGGGGCGTGGTATTTTTTTGCGGCGTTGCGGGGAGGGCAGCTTTCTGACGCCCCGATTCGCGTGACCGAGACCGAGAGGAGCTCGAGGAACTGCTGGAACGACGGTCCTCTGCTTGTGTCTTCTGCACAGCTGAGAGGTGCTTCAAGTGTGGGGAAGTGTCAGAAGTCCCTGTACAACCTCAAGGCTGCAAAAATACACAGGAATCCGCGGTCGCGACACGCGCATGAGCGCCCGCCTCGTCCTGCAGGTCCTCGTAGAATTCCTCCACTTTGGCCAGCAGCTGCGGTGTGGGAACCTTCGGCTGTTGCAGCAAGGAGACCCCTCTCTTCTCCCACCCGCCCAAACCCCTCCCTGCCTCCATCGCTGGCAAGGCCTGCGGAGTCATGGCCTCGGGAACGCGCAGCGCAATGGCCCCGATGCCACATGCCGGTGTGTGGCTCAGCTCGCTGCCGGATCTAGCGGCTTGTACCTTCGGGGCAAGCGCAGGTGCCAGCTGGCTGAAAGATTTCCGCTCTTGCGCGCCGTATGCGGCTCGCAGGAAGAAGCGAAGTGCTTTCTGGCCTCACGAGCCTACCGCCCTGAGCCTGACTGACGCCGGCCTCAGCCAAGACAAGCCAGTTCCAACTCCCAGCTTTCAGCAACTCGAAGCTGGATGTTCAAGTGAAAGAACCCATCGCAACCCACGAGCCCCCAGCCAACATGGACGCCAGGACGCCCACCGGGACCGTCTCCGGCCTCGGGCACAAGACCAACCCTTACGAACCATCTTCCTCCGCTCGTTTCACCAAAAAGCCCTCGATTCCCCAGCGAAGTCTTCGACTACACATTCAGTGCCGGCATGAACAGCACAGACAAGACGTTTGCTTTCAGGGATCGGCGTCTGCACGCCGGTGTGCTGCAGTCCAGCCAGGACCTGCTGCGAAGGAGAAACCGCTTCTTGGGCCTGGGAAAGTCGGGAGGCTCGGGGAGCTTTCAATATCCAAGTAGATTGTAGACTACTTGGCCTTGCTAGGGAACTGCGGAACTCTGCACCAGCAGCTCGCGCCTGCTTCTGGTAGCTGTGTAGCATGGGCCTTACAAGACATCTGACACCACTGGACGAGAGGGCGAAACCACCCCAAGACAGTCGAAGACCAGGTCTGCCACACTGCCGGCATAGCCACCCCTGCCTGGTGTTTCGAGCAAACGGATCGATCTACCTATATGCAGCTGCATCCCCCACAATTGATTCTCTCAACTGCAAATCTTTTCGACGGGTCAGAAAGAGCCCTCGGAAGATCGGAGCATGGCAAAGGCTGCTGAAACGGAGCTTTGTTCGGACTTTCCAATGCAAACGTACACATCTTCAAGTGCACACTGCAGAGGACGGGATTTTGGTGGGAAGAAGCCAAGCGGGCCGGTGCCACGAAAGGAGCCATGCACGGCGCCACGCCGTGCATCGGCGGCCGCAATGCGCCTTCCGGCGGTTCGGGCTCCGACAGTCGGGTCGCACGCAGGGCATTCCAGGCCGTCGGCCTGCCATTCCAGGCAGAGGCGGAGCCGGCACCGACGTGATGGGCCTTAGCGAGGGGTCGCTCAGAACGGAAATTTCAGATTTGGATTAGAGGGATGTTCGCACGCCTTTGCTGGAAGCACTTAGCAGCGAGCCGCAGCGCTGCAGCGGCGGCCTGCGCGACGGGAGGCTGGACACCAGGCAGCTCCTGGGTCATCCTGAGCGCTCAGAGCGAGTGGATCCGCAAAAGGCGACTTCTGCTCTCCGAGAGGCGTGATGGCTTTCACCTCCTCGGCCTGAAGAGCTGAGGCACCGGAGAGGAGCGGAGAAAGTTGGTCTAGAAAACAGCTCTTGGATCTACTAGGCAATGTCAGAAAGATCTTGCAACGCAGCTCCGTATTCATCACCACTCCAAAGATGAAGTAGCTGCTTGACACCCACCCACGACCCACTAAAGTCCGGGGGCGCCTCCTGCGCAGAGAGGATGCCCCGATCGACCCAGAGCTGCACGAGACGGAGCACCCTGCAGAGGTTTGCGCAGAGTTTGGCTGTGTACGAAGAGGCAGAAGTCTGAGCCTTGATTACAAGGTCTGTAGATTCTCTGCTTTTTCCGTGGGAGGCTCGACAGCTGCTGTTCTGGTTCACCGTGGCCAAACTAGGCACGTCGCTTCTGTTGCTGATGCTTGCAATGCTGTATTACACCAGGAAAGCAGAAGTCAGCTTGACGCCGAGGCCTCGAAGTTTCGTCTCCTTGAGGCGACTGCAGCGCCTTAAGGCGCATTGGGATTCGAGTTCACGCTCTAAGAACGAGGCGAGAGCGGGGGGCCGGGCCAGCTGGTAGCACGGGCGCAGGATCCATGGCAGGTACGGCCTGAGACAGGCGAAGTTCGATCTCTCGTTGCGGTAGGATGCATGCAAGCTCCATGCTTAAATGCCCGGACCAAAGGAGCATGAGCATCCTCTCCCGAAGCAAGAAGGGTATGGGGATGTGAGGGCCGGGGAAGGACGCCGAGGCCACTGTTGCATTGAACAGCGCTCCTTGCGGGCGGCTTCTGTCTGCAGAAGGTCGTGCACGAGGTACAACACGTGTAGCCTCCAAAAAGCCGTGTGAAGAAGCGATTGCAACAAACTAACTACATCTTCGCAACCACATCTGCCTGTGAGCACAGGTTGACAGAAAAGACACGCGGACCATGATGTGACCAGCAATATGCGGTGCCAGGGCCTCACCGCCAAAAAATCTCACAGGATTTCAAGGGATGTAGTAGAGGACAGATTGAGGAAAGCATCCCTGAGGTCTCTGGCGCTGTTGCATTCGATCCAAAGCCGACCGCTCTTAATGGCATCCCGCGAAGCCATGTGCCTTCAAGCAGAGGTATCTGAGTGGAGGCAGACTCGAGACCACGCGGGGCGCGCGATCAGCCGAGCAGCTCAAGGGAGGCCAGGACTCCATGAAGCTGCCGCTCGACCTGCTTTCCCATGCTGTCCGTCTCTCACAGAGATATCGCCGTCTCCTGTCTCAACATCCCCAAACCCGTCTCGGGCCTCCGGGGTCAGCGCCAGCACCTGTGGCTCCTTCCATCGCCGCAGGACGTCCTCAGCGTGCGGAAGCAAGTTAGAAGCTGTCGCCCAAGACGCGCGGAGGACCGAGAACCATGCGGCCAGCTCCACGGGCGGGGCTCCCTGAACCTGCGGGGAGCACCCCGAGCACCGAACACTTCATCTGCAAAACCTCTGAGGCTTCGCCCTTCGGAGCTCGAGCTACATATCAGCCATAGAGAGACACAGACACAGAGAGAGAGAGAGAGAGACAGAGAGAGAGAGAGAGCGCTCGGACGCTCTGCCCGTGCTCGCCTGCCCTCCTCGGAGGAGCGTCGCCAGGCTGCCCGCTGTGGGAGCACCGGCCAAGGACCCAGCCATCCCCGTGGCCATCGCCGTCTGCGGCATCGTCTGCGGCATGGGCGGCGCAGGCGGCGCGGGCGGCCGCGGAGCCGTCGGCGCAAGCACCGGCGCAGGCTGTGCCGCCGCCGGCGCAGGCGGCGCCGCTGCCGGCACCTGCTCCGACTGTAGGGGTCCCTGAAGCAAGCGTACCATGTGTTTGTAGGGGTTATGTGAGGCAATGGTGAGTCCACAGAAGCTCGTCCGCCTGTGTCCCTCGATGCCTGGCGAGGACCTTCCGATCCGAGTGCAGCGCAATGTGCGTCTTTGGACAAGTGCACTACCCTGCCACCACCTGCTGGTAGTACTCAGCGCCCTCACCGCTGTACAAGAACGAGAACCTGCCACAGCTGCACTACACAATCGTGATAAATCTTGCAAACCATCCAAGGAGAATCCGGTCAGGGTCGCTGCGGATTGCTCGCATTTTTCTGCTTGACCGTTGTCTCAAAGTCAGAGCCATTCCTGAAACAGAAGAACAATCAGTTGCGTGTGCTCTGCAAACTGCCACTGGAGGGGCGCTTTACCTTGCAATGTGATCCGCCATGATCTCGATCCTCTTCCTGACGCGTCTTTGTGTGCCCCACCGGGGCTCGAGCCTTTGGGGTACTCTAATTCATGCACGTACTCGCGCATGTCTTCACCATCTCCCGAATATTGGAGCATGTATGACTCGTCCATTGATGTCCGCCGGGAGGCTTGCACTACGACTCTGAGGGCAATCGACTACCGACATCAAAGTACTTCGCATCGTTCATACAAAAGGAAAGTGAAGAAACGAAGCCCGACCTTGACGGAGCCTTGCAAAACCCCCGTCGGTGCCGCGCCTTAAATCCGGCGCCAGCATCGCGCCCAGATCCGCCATGGCCGACAGCCGAGCTGCTTTTGCTGCTTTCTTGGGGCTCTGCTCTCTGCTGTCGCATGTCGCGAGACGGCCTGTGGTCAGTGGTCTATTTCATTAAGCGAAACAAGCAAAAGATAAGGACATGAACACAGTGAACGCAAATCATGTTTTTTTGCATTAGTTTCGCTTATTAGAAATGAGCCGTTGCACTTCCAAAACAACCACCTATCAAAATGTAGCGCGTGGTGCTCGCTCCGCTTGTTTGCACTTCTTAAATTCAACACACGTGCCAATTATTTAAAATAAAAGTTAAACTGAAGGAGAAGTATGATAATAAGAATGCGTGCGAAAAAGTGCAAATTACAGCAAAATGAAGCACGCGTTTGCTTCGCTCACTTGCTTTTGTTTTATTTAGATTGTTCTTTTTCAAAGAAAGGGCACGTTTTCCATTCCAATAATCTTCAGGTGTCTAACGGGTAAAATGTGAAGTAAGTCTTGAAGGTACTACATATACAGGAAGCAGGTGCGTTGTGCACAAAAAAGCACTTTCTACATCTCCAAAATGTTCACTTCATTCTATCATGGAAAAACCTCGGTTGCGATGGTGAAAGCTAGGACATGCGGGGCTGGCAAGGAAAGGCCCAACATTCATTTTGTGTTGAAATAAAACTAGAATTCCAAAGCTGGCGAGACAGGGCAACAAGTTCGTGAAACTTCAAATTGTCATGGTCAGCTCGTCAGCTTGCCTTTGACTCAGCTTGAGGTTGGAGGCGGTGGTCGTCTCATGCTTTGAATGACGACTCCTGACAACGTGACAGGCCAGCAAGAACCCATTTCTAGGTGCAAAAGGACAGAGAAAAGCAGAACACTACACCACAGCGCGAAGAAACGCAACAAAGAAAAACAAAAACCTAGTGGCTTGAATGCACTTCATCTGTACCTTCTATGGACCGTTGCCGTTCTCGTGGTCGCGCTTTGGGCAACTTTTGGATTTGGGCTCGCTCTGCATTCTTGTTTGCTTTGGATGCTTTCCTACCACTGCTATTTCTGGAAGATTTGGGCCTTATCAGTGTTAAAATGGTGATTCCCGCGCGTTGCCTCGCTTGCGCGTGGGGGCGGGGTGGGGTGGAATCACTATTTTGGAGCTGGGCTGTGAAAAGGTTCCCGCGCGTCGCCCCCCGCTTACTGGAAAGGAGACCTTGTTTCGAACATTCCCGCACGCCCTCCCCAAACACGCGGGGGAATCACCATTTTGGTAGATTTGAGCCTCAAAAGTGTTAAAATGGTGATTCCCACGCGATCACTATTTTGGAGGATTTGGGCTATGAAAACGGAAAAAAGGTGATTCCCGCTTTTGGAAGCACACTGAATGAGCCATAAACCCTTGTCGTTGTAAGAATGTCGCTGTGGTTGGAAAGCTTGTCAGTGTGCACCTACCCTGTCGTCCTACTCTGTATCTCTGTAGGGATGCGTATTTCTTGCCCCCCTGGCTTTTGCTTCACGGATGGTCGTTCCTGTCAGGACTCAGCCAAGCAAGACTCAGGCACAAGAGTGTAGGCTTGGGGTGAACATTCGAAATCCACTTCCTCTCTGCTCTAATCCAAGCTCTATAAATCAATTGCTTGTGGTGGCTCGGCTTGAGATGAATGACAACTTCCGCGACACTCCGATTCGGCGCTTGGCTATCTCAAGACAAGCGGTCTCTTCAGTTCAAGGCTGCATCCTTTTTGGCCGTTCACGAGTGTCAGTCTGTCAGAGCTTCCGTGCTGTCGGGCAAGAGCTTGGCAGTGATGTGACCTTTGCTCGTGTCCACCTGGCATCTTGCAGAAAAAGACTGCTTCAGAAGGGATGCGCTGAATTCTGCCAGGCCTTTGTCACCTCGACTCTGACCGTCGTGCCTTCCGGCAGCCTGAATGAGGCAAAAGAACAGGAGAGAACTCGGCGCTTCGTCTCGCCAGGGCTGCCGCGTCCGCTCCATGGTCCGCGACCTGAGCTATGTCCGATTCGGCGCAGGAGCGGACGTTGGGGGAAGATGTTGCACGCACTTTTTGTTGTTCCTTCGATTTATGCTTCGGGCGGCGTCAAAGCTACAGGCCCATCTTCATCTTTCACGTCTCATCTGTGGGGCTGCATAGAAACACCCTCCACATCTGAACACCTCTCACATTCGCTGCATTTCGCTGCAGCCCCAACGGAAACTGGATGGGAAATCAGCAGGGAACCGTCGGCAAGCCCGTCCTGGAACAATCCTGGACCTCCTAGGCTCCACTGATTTCGTGACAGCGTGAATTCCACAATGTTGCTTAAGCTTCAAATGTTTGAAAGAGGGCCTTGGGCAAATATTTACAATGACATCAGTGCTCCTTGTCTGCCCTGGTACATACCCGAAAGCGATGCGATGACTCCTGCTCTTTCATGCAAAAGTCCATTCTAGGATGACTGCTCGTCCTGGCCAGAAGTATCTATCTTCATGCGATCGTCTTTCCTGGCATGTTTGGCGGCGGCACCGCCGGAAATAGAAAGCTGCATTTCTGTCACAGACCTCTCGTTCAGGCTGCGGGAACCGGAAACTCTTGAAAGGGGTCACTCTGTGTAAACAGTCCAAAGATGCAAGGAGCATGTACTTCACCTCTGCCTATGTGCAGCTGCGAATTCCCATGCCAATTGGAGCCACACACACCGTCCCCGGAGCCTTTAAGCTTGCGCTCAGCTCTGGAAAGACGCGGGAAAGATGGCTTCTCTCGCTCTGCCTTGGTGTAGGTCATGGGACTTCCTTCAGGGGCCTTCGTCGGCGTGAAGTGCCGAGGAGCCAGGGGGGTGCGACGAGAGCCTTCGGTTCTGGCACATGTCCATATGCAGGCGATGAGTGCGTCGTCGACGGCAGGGAGTCTAGCTGTTCGCCCTCGTCGGCTGTGCTGCCAGCATCCGAGTCGCACATGTCTTCCCAGCTTTCCTGCACCTGCGGAAAAGGCTAAACGCCCCGAGCCACAAAGCACTCAAACCACAGAATATACATAAATTGACTCTCGGCTCTTTCCAAGGTACGGTCCAGTCGGTTGCTTTGACCTTTGGAACTTCGACTGGAACTTCGATGCACTCTTTGACGTTGGGTTGTGGGCCCACCTGGTGTGCAGGAAAGGGGGGCAATGAAGGTGCGGGACGTGATGTGCACTGGCAAATGCGAGGCCAGCGAAAAGCACTCCACTGATGCACCCAGCACCTTGAATTCCCAGACGGCGTCTCCCTCACCTCAGGGCCGCAGCACGCTTTTTGGGAGCCAAAACTCCCTGAGCTCCGAGCTGAGCTCCGGGCCATCTTTGGGCACGGCGAAGAAGTCCAGCTCGAGCTCGGCCGAAGGTGGAGGCGCCCAATTTGGGTCATCGGTCTCGGGCTCGACTTCGGGTTCCGGAGCAGCCACAGGGGGCGCCGGGGCCGCTTGCAGCTTCTTTCGCGTCCGCTGCGCTGAGGCCTGGTGGATCACCGGCTTCTGCTCCTTCTTCTCCTTCTTGGCCGCCTTGGCCTTCTTCTCCTTCGTCTTGGGGCAAAGCTCCTCCCACGAGTCCACCACGCCGATCATGACTGCTGAAAGCCACTGAACCGAAACACCGCTGGCGCCGGACAACCGAGGCTGCACCACACTCCGTCACTCGAGGTGCGAAGCACAAGAGACTCACAGAAGCCGAGCCGCGTGCTTTGCGCCCTCTGTCCAGCCATCGAAATCATTTCGTGGGACCAGCGCCTGGGAGCTTGGGGCAAGAAAAGGACTCCGCAACAGCCTACATGACCGGACCATCACCGGGACCGACGCCGACGTCACGGCGCCAACGTCCACAAAGGCGCCGATGTGCTTGTTCACGTGCACCACCTGCGGGCGGAAGAGAGACGGAGCCGGCGCCGCCGCTTGGGCCAGGGCCAGGGGGCCTTCGCGTCGCAGGCCAGCCCTGGCCTCCGCTCCGCATCGCGGCACGCATTTGCGAAAGAGGGCACGTCTGATGTCGCGTCAGGTCCGAGGCACTGCAGCTCCGAGAGGCGCGTGCGGTTGGCGAAGACGTCCTGCGATCGGCTCCGGCCAGGTCACTTACTTGGCAAAGCTCCGAATGCCTGCATTGTCAGCACCGGACGATCTTGCCTGGCGCAGGGAGGGCAAACGTGCGCCTTTCGTTTCGAGCATCTGTCTTGGAAGCCCCACCAACTGGCTGGATGTGTAAGGACCGGGCTTGAGCTGCTTCACGAAACACTTCACTACGTCGCCGACCTTGACCACCTGCGGACAGGCAACTGCGCAAGATGCAATTCGAAGATCAGCCGGCACAACCCTTTCGGATCAAGCGAAAGGGTCCAAGCCCTTGAGAACAGCTCTTTCGGATTGACAGCCAATACGCCCACCATTCTCTCAAAGCCACGTCTGAACCCGTTCGCATCAAAAGATCACTGTACGCCACAAGCGGCAGTTCGCACAAATCCGACAGAGCATTCCCTGAAATCCAGCGTAGGGCAAACGATTTTTTCATGAAGCTTGCTCGGCCGTGCTGTGCAGATGATGATGTTGACTTGTGACAAGTCGCAGTGCAAAGGCAACTTGCGAACCGTATGCTTAGCGGCTAGCGGTCACGCAATCGGCCGCCCACCTCCCTGGCATGCCGGATGCGCAGCGTTGTCAGGTCGGACTTGTGCATCCTATCAAACACAAAGTGGATCATTCCAAGCCATTGCCGACAAAGCAAGACGCTCTCACTCTCACTGGTCCTACCGCGCCCGGCGCCCTCGACGTCTGCATCCACCTCAGGGAAATATGGGCCGCGCCAAACCTGATGATCCGAGGCGTGAGCTCCGCGCCCATGTGTCGCCGACAGACACGACGGTGGCTGTGACTGCATCGCCGATCTGCCCGGCTGCGCGTAGGACAGATGTCCGAAAAGATTTGGAGCAATGGGTTGTACCATCGTAAACATCAACAACTATCTGCTGAAGATTCTTTCTGAGTCATTTCCGAAGACTCGTCTTTTGCTGAGCACTGCACTAACATAGTGCACTGACGCCAGGCCTCCAGGCCGTTCAAGGCAGTGGCGGCTGGGAGCCTTGCCGGCTCAGGCTCAGGTCTGCCTTCCGCTCCTCACAGAGGCCCTCACCGGCCCTGCCGCGCCTGAGCCGCCTGAGTCTCTGCCCTTGCCGGTCGGTGCCACACAGCTGGAAAGCCACCTTGTGGACGTGCACACAGCGACAGCGAGGGCAATGAGAGTTGCTGTTTCGCCGTCCTGGCTGCACAGGAAGCATAGGACCGTCAAGAGGACGGGCCTGAACGGACTTTCCAGCGAGCTTCGAATCTCGGCCTCCGCCGACGCACCCCGTCCCCCCCCGCCCCCGGGCCTGAATCTGAGGGAGCGCTGGCAGGTGCGGCTTCTCCGACGAGTTTGGCCCTCCTTCGCTCTCCGCTACAAGCAGGAAATGTGGGCGCAGGAGTCTCTGAGGCTGGAGCCGGATGGTGTTGAAACATGGCTTCGGGAGGTTCGGTCCCACTTTGGGTACCAACTACACCCCTGGAAGGCTGAAGCTCCGCGAGTCCTGCTTTTCAACCGTTCCGAAACGACTCCCTTGCACGTCTCGACGTGAATATGAGGTGAGTGCGGACGTTAAGATTCGTCTTCTATAAAAGTGCCTTCTGTACTACAGTAGAAGTCTCCTGTTATCAACGGTTTGGAGAAGCTTCAGCCGTCGAGCAATCGGCTAGAACTCAGAGCCTCGCAGCTCCATTTCAGAGAGCTCCAAACCTCCCGCTGCACCGACCAGCGGCCTTCTGTGACCCTGACGCCACGCAACTGACGCAGCGAGGCTTCCTTTTTTTGCCAGAAGCCTGACTCTCCAAAGGTGAGGCAGGGACGGGACAGGCATGCGATTTTGCTGGGTAACAAATTGCAAGGACGTGCTGAAGCAGTTTTGGGGTTCCAGGGCCATGTGTGCATTGCGTGAGTTCTCCTCGGTTTTGGGGCTCGACCCGCACAATGTTGGAGATGCCAAGAGTTCCTCTTGGCCCTCCGGTGCATTTCCGCGAAGAAACAATTCATAGCTCACTGCGTCAAGTGAGGTTGAAAGCTAAAGAAAAATCGAGCAGTTCCACCAACACAAGTCAGATCAGCACTCTTGAAATCTGCATATTAGAGCAGTGAAGCAGCTTCTACAACCGGTGTTCGAGCCCTAGAAACGCGGGAAAGCTCGTCTGCAGCCTTGGTGTCATCTCGACCAGACAGGTCATCCCGTAAAGTTGGACCCGGCAGCCCGGAAGCGCTGCCGCTTCTGCGGCTTCGGAAAGATGGTTTTTTGAGCAGGTCTCCACTACTTCTGACGGTGATCGCCTCTCCATCCCTCCAGTGTCACACTCTCAAGCCAACACGCATCTTCTGGAACAAATCTACAGCAGGTTGCGTCGTTAGGCAGTGAACACCATAGAGAAGAGCGACAACGGGTATGATCGCCCTTCACTGCTGCATACTGGCCTCGTCTAGCCACTACCCTCCGCTCCACATTTGCCCGTGTCAGAATCGGTATGTGGTATTACTTCCGCCTCTAGCTTACGTAGGTTCTCATGTGGTCATGCACAATGGCGACGTGCGCCAAGACTGTACTCGTCTGCAACTCACCACAACACGAGTAATGAGGCTAGTTCCTGGTGTTTGCTCCAAACAAAGTGTTCTGTTGATTGCTAGACAGTTAAACACGTGGGACACCGACGTGTTCAATGATAACAAGCAAAAGAGACACAGCAACGCCCCTTTTACTTGAGCCACATCAAGTTGTGCCGACGTCTTCACTGAGCTCTCCTAACAAGCTGAATAGCAGCATCTCCTAGGCATGAACTGTACGGGTAATAATAACTGTTTAGGGTTTAGGGG